TCAGGTTTCAGTCTAAACATCTGCCATATGCATAAAAAAATTAACAAAGTTGCAATATTTTAACTTGCATTTTTTTCCAAATTGTACCATCTAAACCATATTCTCTGTAAGAGAAACTAACAAACTAAAGGAAAACAAATTGTATTTATATGTTAATAAGTGTCCAACAGGTCTGCATATAATTATCTAAGCAGTTTACATCTGTAATTATGGGTGAGGTTACTCTAAACTCGCACAAAAAGCCTGCAGTGCAGATTTGCACAATTAGCTGCCTGCACTTCCATTGGCTTATTTGTATACAAAATGAATAGTGCTAAGTACATGCAACTAACTAGAAGCTGAGCTACTGACATACTCCTTTTAAATATACTTGAGGCCCAATGGATAGTAAGGTAACAAACTAACAAATTCTGTTTTGCAAAGTGGGAGCGGAAGGGTTACATACTTTTTTTTTTTTAAAGCAATACTTCTATACCCAAACAGTACTTTCATTACTTTACAACTATCAGATAACTTCCAGAACAGTGCTAATTAAAATTAGGTGTTCAAGAATCTACTCAACAGGCAAATGGCTACAATCGCACAATGAAAAGAAACAACTTTTTTTTTTTTTTTTTAGGGAAAAAACCCTAAAGAAACCACAAAACAAATGAACTTTAAATGGGTATCAGTAAATTAGAAACTGTGATGCCGAAAGACACGATATGAAAAGACAGAGAAAAAGTTGCAATTGATGCAGCTAAGAAGCATAAGACTGTTTTTAAAGCATAAGAAAAAAATATAAACAGTGACATAACTTATGAGGATAGTAGCATAACTAGCTAAGGATAGTAAAATTGCCAAGAGGCAAAAAAGCTGTTACATGCAATAAATACTTTACATTAGGAAACAATACCTTATGAATAAAATGAAGTCGTTTCCAATGCTTTAACAGTGGTAGAGATGTTTTCTTTATCACTGAGAAATTTTTAGAAGTAAATACTTGTGATGGCAAGGTCAGATGATTTGTTCCTAATAATTCTAGAAGAGCGGGGATTGAAGCCTCAAGTCTACACACCGACAATTTTACAACACTACTGTAGTTCCAGTAAATCATGAGTTAATACTTCGAAGATATAAAAAAAAAAGTAACAACATAGGCCAGAAAGCTTAACACCCAACTAGAAAATATATAGAAGAAACAGTAAGTGCTGAAATTAATAAATTAACAGATCAAAATAATCCACGTTGACTACCATCAATGTAAAGTGATATCAGCTCACGCACATGAAGACCAAAGTGATGATTTTGCAATTGTAATACTTACAAAAGTGAGCCAATATAATATGTATCTACATGGCATGGCTTACTAGCATGGTGGTATCAGAACTGTATTAGAGCAGTAAAGAACATAGAAAGTGAATTAAAACTCAAGATATCACCAAATTTTATTTATTTATTTTAAAGAGAGAACCTGCATGGACTGTTGCCATATTTAAAAGCACTCAACATTTTCAGTGATTTGAAAGTGACTCTAAACACACTTCCTGATAGCGTGTTGTGGATGAGATGGGTATCGACTAAACAGAGTTGCAGCCAGAACAAGGCCAGAAAGACCAAAGACAGACAGACTCATGCAAACTCAATAGGTTGTACGAGAAAATCAAATGCAAAGCATATTGATAGGGAGTAAGTAGGGGTCTGTACTTTAAACAGTAGATTAATCTAATCTGCACATACCTTTTGTGCAGAATAAGAAAACAATCCAAACGAAGACAAGCATGGAGTAACTATTCAGCAGCAGTGGCTATCCTGCGTAAGTAATTCCAGTTCTGATTACAGAGATAATCCCCAAAACAGAAGAAACTGTGAGCATAGTGGCTGTAACAAGACTGCACATGATTCTAGTTTTTGGCCCAATGCTATTGAATAAATATCCGTCAATGAGAAAAAAGGTTGAAGATCACAGACATTAAAATACTGGTAATTGCATAGGTGAGATTAAGAAACCTTTTTAGAAAGAAACTATGGCTTTTTGTAGATGCTGTGAAGTGATCAACCACTAAGGCTTGGATCTTGCTCATCCTCCTGATGAGGACTACTCCAATAAAAAGATATCATTACAAGTTAGCATTGCAGGAAGCAAATAGCCACAGACTCAACTGAAAGGTCTGTAGAAGTTGTGAGCCTTAAATTCATTTTCTACCATGACAGAGTGTCCTTTAAAAAATGGAAATATATCACCTGGATTCTTGTGGAATTTGGTGACAGATCAGTGCACAAATACTGAAACACCACCAATCAAGAAGAGATCACCTCATATTACATTTGAACTAATTAAAACATAAACTAGGTTAAGTTTAGAAAAAAAGTCTATGGAATGAGGTCCTGAAAGGCAGGAGGAAAGGGTGCTTTCAGAATAGTAATCCATCCCCAGCATGGTCCAGGAAAAACAAACCAGTGTGTTCATACTCAAATGGATGGTATATGGCAGCAGAAAAGATGAATGATAGAAATGGTGGGTTAACACTTGAATGCATCTTCGAAAGTAGAGCACTACAGCAGTTAAAAAATGGCATTTCCTTTGTTATTGTATGGCTGCCTGAGGGAACCTGAAGTCCCTGGCCTGAAACAGAAAGCCAAAAGGCCAGGCTCACTTTGGATTTCACTTTTTGGGCAAGTAAATTCATCTGTCATGCAAGAAACTAATGTCTTAATGAAGCAAACCTCTGTGAATGACAGCATCTCCTTTGTCAAATATTCAATTTATATATAAGTGAACAGGAACTATCTAGAGACCCCCATCACTCGCATCTGTGGCTGCCCACAGAAAAGCTAAACAAATAAGGCTAAACCAAAAATTGTCCATAGAGTCAATAAGTAGAAGCAGCATAAGAATAAAACATCCTGTCAAGTGCTTTGTTCAACACTTCACAGAAGCTGTTCACGAGACAAGATTCTGATGAAGGCAAACAGATTTCAGGAGTGAAAATAATATCTATTGTTGCATTCAGCAAGTTCTATCAGTTCCCCTTGAAATCAGGGGCAAGACACAAGGTTTTGCTGCAACACTGGTTCTAGACTCACAAATGCATTATTATCTGGGACTGCCACCTCTGCTGCTATAAAATATGCAGTAGGATTAGACTCTGCTTCCAGAAAAATATGATGGGGAGGAAGGGGAAAGCAGACACCTAAACAGATCCTGAAGTGACCTTTTGACATTAAAATGGTACACTGTCACCGATTCAATCTTCAAGAAAAGGAGACAAATCTAGATGAAGTAGTAATACTGTCTTTTATTCAGCAATGCAGGGTGCAATGCTAGTACCAAACAGCACCTGGGGTGCTAGAGTTGCAACTGCTACAGCTCCAGAACAGATTGACAGCATCTGAGCTGCTATCTCCTACACCAAAAGCCACATGAATGAACTGGGAGAGTCTGGAGAACTGCCACTAGAAGTAAGCATCTGGAAGTGGTCAGAAGTAAACAAATTTTGGCTACACTGATGTTATTTTAAGTGGTCTACAGTAATCCACAGTATCCAGGAGTCAGAATTCTGGTTTATTCCCATCTGCATTTTAACTTCAGAATTTTGATATCCAAACACATTTATTTTCCTTTCACATCAACACAGCATCTGCAGCCCTTTCTTCATCTCAAAGCAAGCCATATTTGCTATCCCCCATTCTGACAGTCTTCCCTTTCGACCTGCATCCCACTTCTGTTACCCCAAATGCCTAATTCTTCTGAGGTGGGAGGGAGAAACAAAAGGAAGAGGAAAATATCTCTCTCCTCCTACACACACATAGAAGGGAAGACTTTCAACATGAAGGTTGTTAAACTTCTGTAATCTTTCAAAATTTCCCCTTATACCACCCAATCCCTGTCATCTGACTGGAGTGAAGTTCAGAATGAAGGTTTCTTAACACAGCCTTCTACCCAAAGTCTAAGGACAACACTTTTATGTAGTACCAGTTGACTGTCTTAAATTAACTACAGAAGTCTTTGAGGCTATCACAACTCTAAGACAGGTTGATTCACACAGATGCTTTTGTTTTTTTTTTTTTTTGTGAGAAATGTCCTTTCATACAACGGATCGAGTATTGATCTATTGTTATATTATAGGCCCAACATCCTTAAGGAAACTCAGACAGCTGGGTTCTGCTTATAAACCAGAGAAGAATTACCAGTTTCTGTCTACAAAGTGGCCTTTGGCTGAAACTGATAACTTAGAAATGGGAGAGAAGTTACACAAAGGAAATTAAAATTTCACAAGTTCTTTCAAAATTAGGAGTAGAAAGATCCATAAATCCTTTAAGAGTTATTAATGATCATAGACCTGAGGGTTCTCTCTAAATACTGAAAAGAACGTATATTGACTAATGGAAGATTTACTGAAAGGACAAAAAATGAATGAACAAGAGAGGTTAATGAAAAATACAACAAGAGAGAATGAAGGTCTGAGTATTCAATGTTAGCTTTATTATACACTATAGACAAGTGTTGTTAAGTGTCCTCACATTAACATTCAACTTCAGTTAGTTGTTTGCATTCTATCAGTGCTCTGTTTCCAACACAAGCAGCCTTCCTGTGCTTTACTGTTTGAAACAACAACAGGTGAACAATGAATACATGAAACTATTCTTAACCTCATTAAAAAAGTCATAGCTTAAAATGCAACCTCAGTAGCACAAAATTCCGTTACATTAACTTTCATACAATTCAACTATACCTTTCTCCCCAGAGGACTAAATAGCCACAGCAGCAAGCGGAACTGGCTTGCTACATGAAGACATGTTAAAAAACTAAGCAACTCCTACAGTTCCTGCTGTATTTGTGGCTCCCTGGCCTCCTCATAGAGGAAGGCAACTTCTATATAAAATGTTTTGTATACACTACTGCAGACTACAAGCTTCTTTGCAAGCAAGCAACCACACTGACTTGATTTCATGACATTTTCTTGATCCTAAAATTAAAATCACATGTCTATTTTTATTCCATATTACAACATACTTACTCTGCCATAACACGTCTGACGTTATTGGCATATAACGCTGGATTTTTTCTTTCTTCTTCTGAAGGAATATACACGGGTAGAAACTGCATACAGAGAACCGAATTATACCAGGAATATTTAACATTTTAAACAATCTCTACTATAGCACTATGGTGAAAGATGCATAAAGTTTGTTGCTACTTACAAAATTATATTAACAAAAGGACTATTAAAAAAAAAGGTAAAAATTGAACTCTTAAATGCTTTAGGATGCATCTTACTTTTAGAAATTCATGTAGCAGTGACTCTGGTCATTTCTTACCTCATGGATTATAGAGTTTTATCTTCCTTTCATAAGTGGGACCAGGAATTTTTAAATCGTTTAAAAGTATTAGCATTTTCTTTCACAAACTTTTCTCCTACATCCTGTATTGTTCAGCTCTTTGCAGATAACCAAGAAAAGCACCTGCTACATGAACATTGTTCTATAGCTTAAATATTAAGAATTCAAATTCTCAGGACATCAGGCATTTACTGTTCCCCCTGCACATTTTGAAATCATATATGACTGCTTAATGTACACATCAGAAGTGTTTTTATCCTCTGTTGTTGGAGATTTTGAAAAATTTCTCCTTCAAATTGGACACTGGATATTAATACTCAGTTGAAAGAAAAATTCTAAATAAATGCAGATGGCCACAGAATCACAGAACAATTGAGGCTGGAAGGGGAAAATTAAACCAGAACTGCTGGAGACCTGCAACAGAAAAGGCAGCTTTCAGAATGGAATGGCCTATATTAAGCCTCCCAGCTTTTGGCCATGTTTTTAAGTGTTCATTGAAATATGATGTAAGCTCCAAGATCATGGCCAGTCTCACCCATACAAACTCTCAAAACACCCCATTTCTGCGAAATAACTAACTTCTCAGATAGAAGGACAAGAAGGGATCACACTGATTCCCACCGCCGCTCAGTACCAGACAGACAATTCCCTTAGTAGTACAACACAATGAGATAATTTATGCACCAAGTGAGCAAAATGTTTGTAATCCTTCGGAAAGCTTCTGAAGTAGAAACCAAATTTGTAATAAGCTTAATTATATTTCATATAATTACCTATCAGTAATACAAAATGGGAATTATGATCCAGAAATTTCACACTGGTCTTTAAAAAAGAAAAGAAGAATTGGGGAATAAATATAAAGTTTATCATTTAAGCAAATACTTCTCAATAACTAAGAAGTTAGCTGTATTTTCAGAATCGCATAATGGTATGGTAAGCAGTACCCAAAATGCTGCCACTAGATGTTTGTCTGTTTCTTAGAAGTATTCAGTGATGGACAAATTTTTAATTTATTTTGGGTTTTGCTACCGTTTTCCCTATATGCACCACTGCAATTGAAAACATACTACTCCTGTCTTCTAGGTTTACAAGCAGGTACGCAAGCCTGATGTGATGTAATATACAGAAGGACAAAGACTGTGAAGCTAATAGAGACAGAAAGACTGTTCCTTCGAGTTCCAAGCCCAATTGTATTTCTTTTGCTTTGAGTTGCAAATTGCTAGCAAGTCATTCATCCAAACACAGGACAAGTTTGAATATGAGGCAATTTCAGAGGTGTTCTACATGTCTGTGCCTAACTGGACGGAAATAGCAAGATTATTTCAGCACCACTAACAAAACTAAGAACTCTCAGCTGCTGCAGACTGTGATGGATGTATGAGCACTGAAGCTGACAGGCCAGCAAAACAAACTGACATGAGCCAAAACAAACTACATGCACAGGTGATCACATACCCTTTCTTATTTACAAGACTGCTTGCATGCCAGTTCCAAGTACAGGATGGATGGATGTATAGGCGGGCCAATATTTATAGTAACCTATTATAAAATCTACATAGATGCTTGCTCCTCAATATACATGTTGGATGACATGTATGGTATGCCAGAACATACATTATATGCAGAGAAGCCCAGACTAACAAACTTTGAATCCTGATTGCTGGCTGTTAGACCTTACAAGCTATCATTTAATCAAAAACATACTGAAGTCGTGTTGCTTTGCTGTACATCTCCCTGAGTTATTGGATCTTCAGCAGTAATTCTGGTATCAAGGCTGGTTGGTATTTGCCAGTATCCCTATGCTGATGGAACAAAGCAGGAATAAAAGCCAACAAACTTTGGAGACTGGGGAAAAACATGACTATGAACACAGAACAACTCTTTTTTCCTTTATGTTCCTAAATCTGCAGCACTTCCTTACAAAAACAGATTCAACAAGTAGCTCTCAAGTACTCTGCCTCATACTTGCAAGCAGACTTGCAAACAGCTCTGCCCCTCTACTCTCTGCCAGCTCCTGCTTTAGTATGGAGTGTTTCAGAAAGTCACTAGCCTTCCCCCCCCCCCCCCCCCCCAATTAAAAGATGACCAAAGATCATAACTTGTCCTTGTGCAAGTTCTGTATATGCTACAGAAACTCAGCATTCTGCCAATCAGATGGTTTGTCTTATCCCTGCATGAGGCAGTCACTTCCTGGCCCTTCTACCAAAAACGGCTGCTGTTCTGGAAATTAGATTTTTTTTTTTTTTTAATATATTATTAATAGCTGAAAACATGCAACTCAAGTGATAACACAAACCACAAATTTCTACAATAGATACAACTGTTCAGTGGCTGGGATTTTTTGCATTCATTATTTTTGACAAGAATTTATAGCATAAATAAGTAAACACAGACCATAGCAATGATAAATACTGATTAGCATATGTCATATGTCACAATAGTAACATATATGTGTATGTAAATATGTAACAGTTCTTCCTACTAATTTACCCTGCCATCAGAGATAAGTAGCTACTTCATTATTAAAAAAATGTAAGCAAAAGAACTGCAGAACATCTGTCAAATATCCTATATAACACCTTTAATACACCATACTTCTCCACAAAAATGTAATTACTCTCTGTAAAAATGTACAAGGACAGCAATTTAAAAGGAAAGGGTTTAATTCTTTTCGCATTTTCACTACAATAGCCTTCAGCCTTAGGACCACATAGCGTTTTCCTTAAAACAAAGTTAAGAATATACATAAACTTAAATTTTCTTTGTGTTTTCCAATTTCACATTCTGAACAGTGTAGCCTAATAAAAAAAAATAGCCAGACATTAAATAACCTATCTGGTCTATAAGAAACCACTTACAATGATTTTTCTCTAGAAGATAGTCTTAGTTTGTACATCAGCATTCACACACAGTTGGCACACTAGCTGGAATAGCAATCAGGCGATTAAAAGACAAGAAACTTGTTCACAAGACCCTTTAAACAGAGTCATCTATCTACTCAATTTGAATGAATAAGAAAGTAAAGTCTTAAGCCAAGTGGAAAACCATATTTTGTTATTCCATTTTTAGGCTACATTTTCAGATACAGAAGCCATTTGTCTAAAATATAAGTGGTATTTTAACCTGGGGTTTTTTTTTGGTTGTTGGGTTTTTTTGGGGTTTTTTTTGGGTGGGGTTTTTTTTTTTGGTTGTGGGTTTTTTTTTGGTTTTGTGTGTTTTTTGGTTTTTGGTTTTGTTTGTTTGTTTGTTTTTTACAGACTGTGTTAACATACAAAGTTTGAATACAAACTTTTACTGCAGAATGAATACAATATTATGTATTCTGATATTGCTCAGAATACACTGGTGTTTTTTTACTGACCTCAATTTCCACAGAATTGTGAAACTGACACAAAGTAAGCCACAGAATTTCTAACCTAAAAGGGGAAAAAAAAAGGAAAAGGATGGAGGAAAAAAAATTACATGTAGTGAAACAGTAGTACATTATGCTCCAAAATCTTCAAGTACCATTCCTACTTCTAGGTATGATCATATTCAGATACAATATTAACAGAAAAGTTCTTTGAGAGTACTTCTATACATTACATTCTGTAAGGTGAAATAAAAGCAATTTATACTGAAGTTGCATCTTAAAAAGACACCCAAAAGCAGGAAGGCAAGCAGTAATATGATATACAGGTACTAATACATACAGTAAGATACGATGTATGCATAGGTGTGTAAAGAAAGAGTAAGTCTGTTTCAGCAAAATGCTGTATTCAGCATAGAGTTGGCGAGATTAATTATAACTACTAAGATTTTATCATTACCTTAGTTTGGAATCAAAATTCATTATACTTCAGAAGTCTGTTAATGAAATGCATTACATGTGTTCTAGTAGCCTAAGACACAAGATACTGGAATAAGCTTGACCTTAGAAAGCAGTACGATTCAAATCCAGGAAAGGATTTAGTAAACCTAAATTAGGGAGCAGCGTCAGTAACCACATTTTATACAGTATCTAGGTAGTTACAGCAGTCAATCACTGTGAGGGGAGGGCTGGTCAAAATCCTCTTAGGCAGATAAAGTGCAGTTCCTAGAAGCAACACCCTACTCATTTTGCTATATATTCATTCAGGGCTACAACACATTTTTTTTCCTCTTCTTTCCTACTGAGCTTCCAACACATTAAAGCAAAGAAAAGGAGCAAGAACAACAGTGGAACTTGTGATTTGAAGTTTATGTCACTGACAGGAAACGTGAAAGTCTGGTTTCTAGGACCTTGTCCAAAAGCATTAAAAAACCCCAATAAGTTACAAGTAAACTTTTCTCTCTGCCATCTTTCTGTAATCCTCAAAGATTAAACCTTAAATTATAAGTATCAATTTAAAAAACTGATAGAACCTGTATCTAACTCAAGTCTGATGTGAGAAAACTTAAGTGGTATGCTATAGTCAATCTTTGTTTTCAAGGTACAGTCAGTTGATCTGCTCTGAATACTGTCAAACTAGTAAAAACATTACTTTCCATAAGTGGAAGAAAGTGTATAGTTTCCATATAACAAGTTTTCAATCATTTTATAGGCTACATCAACTTTGAAAAAACAGAATACTCCTGGATACATCAACATTTCCAGATTAAGTTTTGGCTAACACTATGACAGAAGAGAGACATTTGCTGAGAAAGTGAAGACTATTAGTCTTAACAGTATTTTCTGCTAAGACATCAGGAATACATTTTAGGTCACTCAGGAGAATTAATCGTAATTAAGTAAAGCTGTAATTTAAACTGACCCAGTGAATTTGCATAACATCACATGCTGCCTCAGATTCTGATTCAGCTTTAATTTAATTTAACTTTATTAGCAGAGGTCAGCACTTCCGAATAAGGGTTTTGTACACATTAAAGTGATCTGAGGCAACACACCTACAAGTTCCTTCCCTCTTCTTCCTCCGTCTATGTGTTCTTGACTCCTCAGGTAAGACACTTAGCTGGAAGTAAGCTACTGACCTTTCTCCCCTCTGGCTGAGTTTATTTGCTAGACGAACCGCAGTGCAAATGCAAAGGAAGAGGTAGGAACTCACAAGGAGAGAACAGAAATCCGTGCACGCAGTAAATGCTGCAGTACCTACCTACTTTAGACATGTCATAGATTCCTCTACTTCCAACATGATGATTTAACTGAAAGCTGAACCTTTAAAAGTGATCAATGATTTCCTCAAGTCTCCAAATCTAGACCTGTCCTTAATTAGACCTGGTTCCTAGTCCATTTGAAGGTGCAAAATTAATTGACAATTCTAAATTACTTGAATCTTGGCTAATCCCAATGGTTTCCTTGTAACCACCAAAATATAGGATCTCAGGTGAGACATTCAAAACAATAGTTCCCAAGAAGGAGGCTATGTCAAGCCACTAACCATAGAATTCAACTCCCCTTTACTTGTTTTGATCTTCACCTAAACATTTTAGAACTTCTACTCCACCCCCAACATGAAAATAATGCTAAAAAAAATTTTTTTTTTTTAAACAAGCAAGAACTGCTTCGTTTAGTATTTTACATTACATGAATTTGCTAAGGAACCTCTAGAAAAACATTTTGTTTTTTTTTTAAAAAAAAAAAGATCAAAGTTACATTCAGGCAAGATAATGGAAACAGTATCTCCAAATTCCCTGAGTGAGTTGACTGTTTCTGTGGGGCTAGACCAATTTCAAACAATAGCCATACAGATTTTATATAGAAACACAGCAAATCGATTTGTAGGCAATAAAATACATAAAGCAGAAGCAAGTTGTTTTACTTCAGGTACTCGGCACAAAAAAAAAAAAAAAAAAAGGAAAAAAAAACCTAAAATCCATTCTGCAAACCACCAAAATCATAGCAGCAGAATTACACTGTCTATACCTGGATTCCTCTAAGTATTATCATAATTAGGGAATAATAGATAAAAGATACAAATTAATCCCAAAGAATAATCCAATAACCAGCAATTACTACTTGGCTATATACGCCTATAAGACGTGTAAATAAAAACTAACGAGGGAAAACAATCATGATATAAGCAATAAAACATAAACCACTTACGCTCCTGGCCCTTGCCATGTCCATGTGATTGTATCCTAAGAAAAGAAGCATGACAGTTGCAATTAATTACCATCCTTTAAACTTTTGTTACATTATAGATAGTGTAACTGATGACATATGACTAAAAGGTTTCCATGGAAACTTCGATGCCCTCTTTGCAAAAGTTCTTAGCCCCAATAGGAATCAGCCTGCCTTTTATGTAGCTAGGAAATACCCAGTAACCTAGCTCTTAAACACAGAATATCTATATTCATAAAACATTTAAAGATCCAGGGATTCTTCAAATGCTGTTAGCCTTGGAAAAGGAAGTTATTTACTGTAAGCTGATGTTCCTTGATATGCATAGTCCATGTGTATTTTCCTAACCCATCCTGCTTGACAGGGTGTCCCTCAAGTGTCCCTACACTTTACTTGGACCTCCCAGCAATAGATATGAACACTAACACTTCTGAAGTGTTTGGGACCTGTGCAGATGACTGAAAGGAAGTCTGCTCAACTGACATGAAGCAGTAGGACAAGTAAAACCTTATGTCTTACCTCAGAACAGTATTTTACTGTTGCCTTTACTCACAGATGGCATACAACCACCTACCCAATCCAAGAATCAAAAGGCACGTTATAAGATATCTAAAGCCACCAATTTACTCTTGGGCAAGACCAGCAGCACTTCTAGATGGCTGAGATGAACAGTGTGTAAAACACTAAGAGAGGACAAATAGCAGTAAAAGAAGCGAACAAGATGCAAATAGCAAAAAGGGAACAGAGACCCGGAAACGAGTATGTAACAGGGGACAAGAAAGAATATGACAGTAAAGGTCATAACATTTTTAACTATAAGACTAAGAAACAGCATAGGACAAAACTGTAGTACTTGGAGACTACATTTACGTGTAGAAGGAAGACTCCAGAAGCCTGAAAATGAGTTCCAAACTATTGTTCTGACTAACTGGGAAAAAAATGTACAAGTCATTAATAGAAAGACAAGAGGACTCGGTAAATTTCTGAAAGACCAGATCAGAAAGATATATCTATCAACCTACTGAAAATGTTCCAGTTCAGTTCTATGCTACCAAACAAAACCATTTTACAGAGTTTAGGTGACCACATGGGCCATGATCTTGAAAAATCAAGTCAAACTCATGTTTTAATTACCATTTACAGCAAAAGGCTGTCACAAGTGAAAATGAAAGAAAGCAACACATCCATAAAAGGTGAAAAATGTGATAGATCAACAGCTTGGAATAAGATCAATATATCATGAAGGACTACTAAAAATTTAAACCTTGACTTTCAACAATTATTTTAAATCAAACAAAATATGATAAAGAACGATTCCATCTTTAGCAATCAACATACATGCATGCAAATAGACTCCTCCATGTAGTGATCTTATAGAACTTTACTGTCTATAGTTTTACTGTTAAACTGCTTCTGGCAATTTTAATGTGTCTGATAACACTGCAAGTAAACACATTATGGGCTTTGTTTTTTCCACAAGGAACTTTCATTTACAAACCCTGACCACTGCAATGTAGATAGCTGGTAATTTCTCTAATCAGAGACTAGATCTACCATATAGAATAACACCACAGTACTATACATAACCAATTCGGCTCTCTAAATTGCAACAGTGTAGGAGACAAAAAAGGGAGTTCTACGAAGTACCTTGCCTGGGCAACAGATCACTGAACAGCGAATAGGTATTTTCAGAATCCAGACATTGTGCTGGCTAGCTGGCAAGACAAATGCAAATAAGCCATGTATCTATCAACAATCCTGCGAGAAATTGCCAATGCGAATGTCACAGCAGATGTGCATGCTTTTTCTCATCGAGAACATCAGGATGCAGCAGGGATGACGACTATAAATGCTATGTAGTGGAAAACAGGGTTCTGCTCTGCAAGAAGCAGATCTATTTTGTAGGAGACTCCTGCTAGCATATCCAATATTTTTATGATAAAAACAGCAAGCAGAAGATGGGAAGTGGTATTTTCTGTACCTAGTTTAGGTACCTTTTATATTTAATCGCAGCTACCAGCTTATGCGTATGGACAGCATTCACTTTGATAGCATTCTGAGTATACTTTTGAAACTTTTGCATCTAGATAATGAATCCTTTGAATTGCGTGGAAGTACATCCTCCATATAATTTGTATTTGACACAAGAAGATATTGAGAATCATGACAAGCTTCAAACAGCAGATTGCCTGTGTTTTTACATGCTCAATCAACCCTGATACACCAAAGCTGCACAAGAATTGCTGCCAAACCTCTTACCAAACAGCACAGTTATCTGTGCTAGACACTTGGACATAAAAATACATTTTAAATCGCTCTGTGATATTTAAACAGGTATATAGCCTTTCATAATTACCAGCACTCTAACAGAAAATTCAAATGAAGGAAAAGCTGTATACATGAAGAAAATTAGTCTAAAAATGAATTGCAAAAAGGATTGCTGTAGAACCTATGGATGGAGACATTAGAGCATTTCTTTTGATTAGAATAGGTAATAGCTGTCTAGCATCCAATAGGCAAAATACTACCAAACTAGATAAACAGAAGTAAATTTCGAATTTCAAGTCTAAACAACACCTTAAGCCTTACAATTTCTTTCTGCTCCTGCATCAAGAGGAGCAACATACTAACATACTACTCCTAAAGAAACATTGACACAGGACCAGAGGCATCATCTACTGGAAATAATCACAAGCCTGAAGAAGAAAGGTATTCAGGGGACAACCCTGACTAGAAAGAGAGTTCTTCATGGCAACGAGAACTAGATCTATTTGCTAGAAGAGAACTGAATTTACATCATCATTTTTTGCCACATGTTTCAGTCCACTGCAGAACAGTAGTATTTTACCTAGTTCTTGAATAATTCGAGTACAAAGAAATAAATGTGTAAGAGTGCATGCACTGATTACATCCACCCCAGGGCTCTGATCTCCAAAAGCCTCCCAAAACAGTCAGCTGCACTCAAGTCCAAGACTGTTCTCACCTGTACTGTGGAACTCAGAGCTCTGAAGGTAGAACAGAGCAGGCAGTTCAAGCTAAAAGCAGTGGGGCAACTGCACACAATGCACATCTGGAATTCATTGGCTAAGCAAAGATCTTAAGAAACTCCTTTCTAAACCTAAAATTATAATATGCAGCGGTCAAACAAGGCAACAAACAGGAAGCCAGAGACAATTAAAGTTTGCTAGAAATGCTGTCTTAAGTGTATGAAAAACAATGTTGTCTCCCTACTCTGTTGTTCTTACTTGCTACATAACCCTTAACTGTACCACATCTTACTCCTCCTTCTTCTCCTCATTCTAGCTTTGCTGCAACTCTACCGTAGCCCTCAGGCTAATCTAAAAATTAAATAGTAATAGCAATTATTCTTGCCCCCCATTAATGCTTAGTGGAAGTAGACCTTAGGAGATTAAATGACTCAGTAAGGCACTGAAAACCTAAGTGTTTTACTTTCTCCTAATACTTTTTATTGCTGTAAAGTTCCATACACAGATTCAGGCAAACTCTGATGGATATCTATATAAATATTTACAATTTCTTTTATGACATTTTGCAATAATATTAAAAAAAAAAAAAGAAAATTTTCATTAAAATTTTCATTGATTTACCTCAATGTAAAAAGCTCATAATTTCTGTTGATAGAGTATTAGGAATTTTTAATATTAGTTTACAAACTTTGTATATTATGTACTACAGGCAATAAGGGCATTTCAGTATGAAAATGGATTTTTGAAGATACCTGCAAATTAATGTTTGATAGCATTATATTGTTTGATATTGTTATAAATACGTTTACTATTAACCAAAAGTAACAAGGTATATTAAGTATGACATAAGGCACATGCATATTTGCAATTTAAACTGGCAATGCAATAAAGGTTTAAAAATATTTTTAGAAAATAATCTTTCTTCTTGAAAATAAAACAATTATGTAATGAAAAGTCTCAGGCAACCTGCTACAATGCACTTAATACTATGCAAGCATAACAGGCTGCTATACTTGTCACAGCATCCGCAAAAATAATTTTTGGGTTTGTTACTGCAAACTAGTTGACTGCCATCACACCTTGTCTCAATCAAGAGCAAGTGGTGGTCTATGTATATTAACTTTGCTTAGGTTCTTTTATTTTTCAATCAAGCATATGTTTTGTATCAACCTCTAAATTGACAGAAAGAACAACGGATGGAAACACTTTAAAACATAAGCACTCAGGTACCAAGAGGAAACGAAATCCTTCCTTAGATCGAAGGGTTGTTAATGGGCTAGTCAAAGAGAAATGATGTGAGATCTTCTGATGTGACATGCATCAGTAAAGACAGTCCTTATTTTACTGCTGACACTTTTCCCACCCTCCCCTAAATAACTTCTATTTTAGAAGGGAACAGACTGGACCTGAAAATAGCCCCAGAGGGCTCAAAAGAAACTTCAAGTACAAAAGCTAACAAAGTTCACTAGGAAGTATCTTCTAATTAACTGAGGAATGTAGACAGACAGGATTCTGGCTGCAGTAGGACAGGAAAGTATCACATCAGGTAAACTGAATAATAATAATGATACAAAAAAAAAACCCAAAACCCAACCCTCTTCTGTGCTTTCCTGTAGGCTTTGTCTTGAAGTAGATCAAGTGAGCTTTGTCTTCTTTTGTTTGCCTATATCTTTACAAGTGTTTGTAACTATTGTTTAATTTAGATATTGTAAATAAACACTATAATTTGCATGTATAATTTACGTGAATCTGATTTATATTAAGGACTACTCCAAATCAGCTAGTGTCTAGCATTCCTCAGCGAAGTGCACAGTGAATGTAAACCATGGACAATCAGACACCTTATAAAGGTGCCAAGGTCCCCAACACATTATGCTATTATCATTCAGCTAGTTGCATTAATTTGTGACTAACATCCCCACAGGCAGGAGGTGCAGAAGCATCTTCCAGCAATAAAGAAAACTCTCCAGCACACACTGCAGTAACAGGGAGCACATGGGAACACAGATCCTAGGCAGAAATTGACATTCGTCTTGTCATTTGTACAGTACTTCTTGTAACAATCTGAGTAGCCTTCAGAGCACTGTTTTAAAGGAGTAACCTAATAAAAGCAGAAACATTTAAACTGTCTCAGTTAAGACTATTTATATTGCTAGAGACTTAAGGAATACATACTTAGCCAATAAGCATTTATTAATGCTTTCCAAATTTCTAAATCTAATTATTTAACCTAAAAGATCACAGGAGTGCCAGTGTATTTAGAGGAAAATGCCCCATATTTACTGCAAGCTGAACTTACCAGTTTGTTTGGATAACGTAAAACCACTGGCTGTACAGGAACTCCAGGAATAAACGCTCCTAGAAGGCACATGACACATCGTTACTTTATAATGCATTTTTGTACAGAAGAAATTTATTGCAGTAAAGAAAAAAATTATACAATTAATGGGCTGATATGCATAGGAATTAGCTCATAGTGAAAAAATAAGATCCAAAAGTAGCCTCAAAAGTAATCTAAAAAGCAAGCACTGAAAAATGACAATGTATACCCACCTTTTCAGAAGATAAATAATTAAGAATGCTTGCTTGCATTCTCTAAATTATCCTCTACCACTTACATAAATTGGCATGTACACAAGTCAAAGCCCGGTACCAAATTCAGCTTGATAAATGATTAAAAAAATATGAGTATGTGCAAGACAGTTAAGTCACTATTTTCCCTGTGGTCACCAGTATTTTTTGGTGAAGAAACTAAGCTTTCTTATGCAAAAGAAGCTTTCTATTTTTAGTTGAGCAACATTGTTTTATAGGAAATCTATCACCTCAGAAGTAACAGAATTAATTTAACTTCTTTTCTCCCACCTTAATTCCCCTCAGAAGGGCTTATTTGTTTATTCTGTAGCTATGGAAAATCTAATAGTTAGAAAGCATTGAACTAGAGCTATTGTACAGAAGTATCACTTCATTTCTATGAAAACTATAGTTCTGATAAATAAGTAGCACAAGATCTATAAATGTCATTTGCTAATCACAGGAAAAATTTCTTTACTGAAAGAGTCGTCAGGCCTTGGAACAGGCTGCCCAGGGAAGTGGTGGAGTCACCATCCCTGGAAGTATTTAAAAGACGTGCAGATAAGGCACTTAGGGACATGGTTTAGTGGACATGGTGGTGTTGGGTTGACGGTTGGACTCGATGATCTTAGAGGTCTTTTCCAACCTTAATGATTCTATGATTTTCTAGGTTTCTAGCATGAAGATTGGGTAAGCATGATAACTATCTTGCTCAAGATTTCTCTAAACATCTTTATCTTGTGAAAACAATTAATAAAGACAGTCTTCACTCAAACTATGGTTTTTATAGCAATTTACTAAGTTATGCCTAATATTTCAATTAAAATCAAGAACTAAACAATGGAAGTATACTGTATTCTTAGCATTACATTTGTTTTACAGAATAATTGCATAGATGTAAAAGAAGTAATTGTTAATGGAGTATAAACATCTTTAAATGAAGGTTGTCTGAATGGGATCCTGCAGAGATTTGGTTCTTGGCCCAGTGGTACTTTCTATTCAGTCTCCAAAACAAAAGCAACTTTTGAAAGAATCCAAAGATGACAAAATCTGAGTGGCAGATGACAAGACCACCATTTAAACAAAACTAGACTAGCTTGCCCTGTATGACTACCTCGCAGAAACACAAAACCAAAAAACTGTGCAGTAAGAGCAAGGAGCGTAGGCTACATGAGTAGAATGGGGAAAGGCATCCTGAAAGCAGTTGCTTGAATAGAGACCTAAAGTAATTTGATATAAGTGCAAAATTTTGAGGCAAAGGATTTCTGGGAGGCTGGATGGATACAGAAGCAGGTTCCAGTAGGAAAAGTGAGACAGTCAAGAGGCAAACAGCAGCATATACTAGACCAGAGCAGAGGAAGATCGAGTGGGGATTTGAGGCAGAAAGTATATGGTGCCTGGAATGTCTATGGCACAGCAGGAGGGCAGGAAATCAGAGCTTTATTGAAGGACTCAGGCTGGTTTTCAAAGCATGGCCAGGATTCAGGTGGAGAGAAAGGGAGAGGGAGAGTAAAGAGCAAAATAAGTGGATGTTCTCCTAACCACCACTCATTCATCTAAAAAGGTAAGAGCTGAAAAGGGAGGAAGAAAAGCTTTTTGAATGTTTGTTCAGGAGATGATACTGAGATTCCTTCAGCCAAATAAATCAGTGCAAGGAATCACAATGCTGACTCATTGCATGATATTCTAATAGCAATATGTAAGTTGTAAGCAACACAAAATATAAGACACACAGTAAGAACAGAACACAATGAGCTAGGCAGAAACCTAGGAAGAGTCAAAAAACACATTCACAACTGGATCGCTCACTGCTGTCTCCTCATTAACCATCTCCCTACCTACATCATAAAGGCAAGTTTACATTAAACATTGGTGGTTCACTGCAGTATTGGCATTTCTCCCTATTGTAACTGCAGTTTACAGCTGCAACAATGTTCAATGTTATACCCTCTACTAATCTGGTAAGTTAAAAGGGTGATACTAACTGAAAAGAGCTTAGAATGTGGATGTTGAAGAAAAAAATATTGCAAAAAAAGACAGCCTCTGTAACATTGCCACACTGGCAAGATTCTTGTGCCATCTTCACCAGAATAGAACTGAACAGAAGAGTTCGAGAGGAATCAACCACATACAACACAGCAACAAATGCTGCAGCAGCCTGAAATAGATACACACTAATACCTTAAGCTTTATAGTGTATCCAAATGCTGCATGACAGACCCAAAATAGGAAATGGAGGGGGCAAGGAAAAAAAGAAAAAAAAAAAAAAAAAAAAGAGAGACAACCACAAACAAAAACCCAGTAAGAGACATTAGTCCTCCAGCTCATATGCATCTCAGAAGCCAAGAAAAAATCCAAATTGTGTAAAACGCTTTGCTCAAGTGGAACTACAATCCTTTTGTAGCATCAGAAAATTTCTATTCCAATTCCACCTTACTGCAAGATTTTTTACTCAACTTCTGCAACAGCGAGCAAATTACAATGCAAGTGGTATTTCAGAAAATGAAGATACAAGAACATTCTGCAGAGAACAGAGAAATGAGAATCATACCTACCAGGCTTGAATGTAATTAGACAGGATCGGTTTGTGCAAGTGCCCTCTGGGAATATCATTATCTTGAAGTAAAAAAAAAATTTACTTTTAAGAAATATTTCAATGTGGATTTATTTATAAACACATCTTTTCAAAGCTAACGTTAACTGATTACAGTAAAAAAAGTTTTCAGGGAAAAACAGTTCAGAGTAAAAAAAATAGTGCTCAATAAAGAAGTCAAGTAAAGTTCTGTCTTAATAGTCAAAATATTTTTAGCTGTGAACTTCCCTCCTTCTTGATCTCCGATAATAATTCTATTCAATTGGAACATTGACAGTGACCAGAAACACTTGTGAGTACAAGAGAATTTTCACAAAAGGTTTTGGTGCTAGTAAAAATATCATGTTATGTTTTGCACCAAAACAAGATTCCTGCTCCCAACCTACCTGCTTACAGGCTAAGAAAAGGATGACTTATTTTCTTTTTGCATTTATTACTTGGCATGTGCACAGATGGCAGAATGATAGAGGCGGAAAGCATCTAAACAGAATTCTAATGCTCAAGTTGAACTGAATTCAGAGGAAGAGGTTAGATTGTAAAAAAAAAAGTTTCTGACAGCAAAAAGCCAAGAACTGCTGAAATTTTGTTGAGTTACAGAACAAGGCATTTAAAGGAAACAAATACATATCATAAGGGGACAAAGCAATGGACTACAATTAACATTTCTAGTTTTATTGCCCACTCTGGTACTAGCTTGCTAGACATTCTGGAAATCATTTCAGCTCTGCAACTCAGTTTCTTCATCTGTAAGTAAGAATATTTACTTTTTAAAGTACAGAACAAGCAATAAAAGAAAGTCATAATGTGAAATCTATATATCACCTTTCTGTCACACTTTTTATAATGTTTCTGTAGTCCAGCATGTGGACGTAACCACTGTAGTAGTAACATTGCCATGAAAGACATACTGTATCTTAATCTCAAAAATTCACTAGAAGAATGCTTCAAGTTTTCAAAATAATCACATGCTTCTAGAAAATTGAGACCTTAGGTAGTCATCCCTTCCTTCCCATTACTTTCTTCCAAGGTACATTATAAATAGTCGTATTTCAGGTGCAGAAAAAAACAAGCCACTTATTTTTGCAATGTTTTCATCATATGATCCAACAGAGGTGTACTCCAGTTACTGGAACATCCGAATCGCTTGGGCTGTCTTGGCCAGTATCACATCTCCAACAATGACAGTATGCCAAAATCTTGAGAAGGGCAAGAATACGAAATACTCCCCCAGGTATTGTACTGAGCACCTGATTATTTTCTTCTTAGAGGACTTACTAAACCTGCTGTGGTCTGTCTGTTTAGTATCACTTAATAGAGCCGTATCTCCCTGTATTTACAGTCTCCCCTTGAAACACACTGCAATGAAAAGCTAGTGTCTTGTACAAGTAAGAACCTTACATTATATCTTCTAGAAAGAGGGGGGGAAATTCCACCCCCCACAAACCATCTAAAGCATCCCACAAGTTAAAAAGTAAACTGCAGATCCAAAGCCTGGAAATGCCAAATACCATCTGTCACACAATAGTAGTATACAGTACCTGTGGCCATTTACCATCAGACTGAGCACGTCTCCTTATCTCTTCAACCGTTTTCCTGCGAGAATCCTGGTCTGACCGAGATACAAATACCGGTCGGATGTATTTGATTAGTGCTGAAGAGGGGGGGAAACAAAAACAAGCAAAACAGCCTTTATTTCCCCTTTTCTGAAAAAGATTCCCCCCCCAGTAGTCCTCTGGACAAGAATTTTGGTACAAGTTCATAGCTGTTTTACTATATTATACTGCAAACTTAAATATTCAGCTGAATTATTGCAGTTTTATTGAAGTATTTTCATGAATTCCTGAAAGGAAAACTGTTTTCACAATTTTGGCACTTTGTATTTTTTCAATAGACCAATTTTTAATAGACCAATACACATACATCACGTAATTTAAAACATGATTGTATGTATTATGCATAGCTTTCTGCAACAAGGCAGCTGTGGTTGACTATAGGCTATTTCTTCCTACCACAAATATGACAAAACCTATAGCCACCCCCAACCCAGAAGGAACCTCCCAAGCGCTTCCAAAAGACATCCTGCAGGTCAAACTGCCACTGTCTTTACAGCTTTTGTCTCCTATGACAGCTCAGCTTCACTAAAGGTACTCCATCAAAGATATTCCATACACAGATTATGTTATCTTTTCTGAGGAATTAGCATGATCAAAAGAAAAAGCATGCTTATTTTCTGAGCTGTCACCTGTTTGCCTGTTCCTCATACCAGATGAATCAGATCTCAGGCACCCTCTTCCTGGCTCAGTGGGAAACCTCTTATACATGGCCAGACACAAAATGAGTGTGAGCAAGAATCAGAAATCAATCCACAATACCCTCTCCATGCATGTCTGTCACAAGGACACTGAGGCCCACTTACAAAATAGTAAGTAGGATATACAACTCTTTTGCAGTGTCAAAAAGCAGTACAAGAGAAGCATCTTCAAATATACTACTTCATGCTTTTATTTAAGCAGGTTGTCTTCAAATACCTTTTCAAAATTTTTGTATCTTGTAATCTTATTCGAAGGTTCAAAAGTCACTAAATCATTAGCTACTCTATTTGCCTAAAAAACAAATATAAAATACAGTTTTCATATTTCCAACTACTGCGAGATGAGTTCGCTGACACTAGTTGTATAATCTTCTTTTGTCAAGGATAGACTTGCTGCATTAATGGATCAGCCAGTGCTTAAAGTGTGAGGAAAAAAAACAGCATAAGGAATTACAGTCCTGAACTCAGCAGAAGTTGCTGATTCTGATGTTATCCCACCGGCATTTTAGTCAGCTCTCATCAAAATCCTTCTATGGTTCTGTGAAACTAATCCGTCACACCTTACAGCAAGTTCCCAAACATTCAGCCAGCCTCTGAAATACTGCTTTTATCCCACAAGTTGCCGAAGCCTAGAAGACAGCGTATTAGAGAAAAGTTACCATACTCCTGCACTTTTTCCTACATGCCTGCTCTTAGACAATATCCACAGAACAACGCTTGCTAGGGGAGCAAAGATCATCATGGGCCAGCTGGAGTTACTGCTGTGGGAAGGTTAAAAAACCCAACCAAAAAAAAAAATCCCAAATAAATCACAAAACAACCACACACAAGAAATAGGAAAAAAAAAAAACAGAACAAGCAATAAAAGATGCAAAGGAAACTATACTTGGTTTCATAACTCTGTTCGTTTTGTTTCTTAGTGATGCTAGTCCTGAGTTTCCCCTACTGCTGCAAATTACTATTCTGTAGCAAAACCAACATTATCAAGTAAAAGAAAGCAAAAAAGGCTCAAACATCCTCAAGCCTTCACCCTGAAGTTTCTTTCACATTAGGTCCAAATGATGGAATTCAGGTTACTTCAGGCCAAGGAATGAAACAAAAACAAGATAATTCCAGAGCTCCGAGGCTCTTATCTGAGCCATCAACTATTTCAACCCATCACATCAAATTTTAGCCTAATGGAGAGACAGGGTGATCGTATTAAGTTTTACTTCCTTAGGGATCAGATTAAAAAGCTGCCAGAATTCTTGTTTTAACATTAAACAGCAACTTAAGATCCTGTAAGACACCAACTACCAGGCCCTTAGTGGGTAAGTTCAACAATTTAAGTGAAATTGAAACTCTCAGTCATCAGTAAGAAGCTGAAAGTACATACCAAGGGAACACTAGCTCTGTACTTGCCTTTCCTCACATACTCTTTTCATAACCACTTCTGAAAACAGAGCACAAGGCTACACAGACCTTTACTCTCATCACGTATTTTCATGTTCGGTAAATAGACAGGAATCTGAAAATTCAAAGGCTGTACCAAGTCAATCTGTGCAAGAAATAGTCAGGAGCAGGGTCAAAGGTCTGTGAAGAGAAGCTGAGAAACATACCAAATAGGTGGACAAGATGAGACTGCAGCCAGAAGTCAAGTCGAAACACAGGGAAGCCTTGAGACAGTACTGTAAGGCAGTATATACGAGGCAAGGAATAGGCAGGACTAGGGCAAAGTCAGGGCAGGAGCAAAAAACAGCATGCATGCAAATGCTGCAGACAGCTGGCATACTGAACAACTAAAGGAAAAAGCAGAACTGTGCAGTACGCTTAATAAACAGAACATAAACTTAACTTTCTTTGCGCACCAGTTTAACTGTCCAAGACCAATTGTAACCAGGTAGTGAAAACCACAGCTCAAGTATTCAAGAGATGCTGAAAGAGGTGCTTGCCCATGTCCTCTCACTCCATTAAAACCACCTTTAAATTAGAAATTCTAGTGGGCGATGGTAGACAATCCCTGAATTCACAAAATTGACCTTGCCAGTGTCATTATTTCAGCTTTTTCTCTAGCAGTGTCAGTCCTACTTGATGAAGTCACTCTCATCCCCAATTTCAGCTTATCACAAGTGGTCCTGAAGACAGGTGACACATGCTGTACTCCACCTTCTTAGGCAGGTGCCTGCAGTTTAAACAGTACTGCCAGTAACTCATCAAAACCTCTGCCTTGCAGGGCAGCCAGAATGCCACAGATACGCTAACCAATGGAAAGTTGCTCTAGCACGAAACAGCCTTTTTTAAGACAGCCTGCAAAAATTCAGTATTGCCTTAATTGCAGGGTGGCAGCTCCAACTGATTTCAGAACCATAACTCCCATGCGATCATTTCAAGCACCAGCTGATGCATAAGCAAAAAAAGTTTCTCGTTGATGAGCTGAACACATACAATTGGTGTCAATGAACTTCTCAGGACAACAGGGGGGGGAAAAAAAAAAAAAAAGGTATTTCATCCCTCTATTTCCAGGCAAATGTGGGTGAGGAACCCTTGTTTCAAATCAAGACACAAAATGCTATTTAACATACAATAGAAGAAAGTATTGTAATAAAGAATTTACATTATGCTTGACAGTTACAACCATATAGTAGATAAAGCTATACTGGCAGCATCACCACTGGCCTACAAGGCATCAGAGAACACAAAAAGCAACAGAACGGCACTGTGGCACTGAATATTGTTCTTCTAAAATGTATCCATACACACACTTTTGAGTAGGCAGTTACATTTTCACCACTGTAGAAAAAGCATCAGAGTGACAGATCTGGTCCAAGAGTAGAGAATGCTGAACCTGAGGCTTTCACTTGGCCTCTCCCCCAACCACCACAAAATCCCATCACATACGTTCCTCTGATACACTGAGATGACAGCCTATAGAGCCAGAACAAACTGTCTCTGTGTGCATTTAACATGGAGGTAGGCTGTGTAATACAGGTAGACTTGCACTGGGATATCCATTTACAGTATTTACTCCTTGATTTTTACTACTATGGGAAAAAATACAGACGATTTTTCTAAGGTTGCCCTCTTGTGCATTCTGTACTTAGGGCTTACAAAAACACGAAGGTTAAAGGTTGAAAAGCGCTATCTTGGGCTTAGTTTTTAAGAGTTGACTTACCCAAATGAACATGCTCACAAAGTTCTGAACTCACACCTTTCCTAATAAAGTAATATGTAATATGAAAACTGCTCTTTTCTGAAGACAAAAGAAGAAGAGAAATCTGCAAGGGACTCAAAAGTCTTCTGAAGGTTATGGGGAAAAAAACATTAAGGTTCCAGAATGAAATGACTTCCTGCGTATATGGACACAGAGACCTTAAAATGGGGGGGGGGAGGCAGAAATCAAACCCACACACAACAGATACACAAAGTTGTATCAATGCACAAAAGTGAAGTCAACCAAAATTAGGATCTTTTCCACCTGGAGTTATATTGTTCTTATGGAGATAGCGTTATTGCAGTCATGGTGCTTTACAGGAGATTTGTGAAGTTAGTGGTAGTATCTTATTAGAGCAACAATCATACACAGAAATATATACTCTTTTGACCCAAGCCTGAACCAACCACTTAAGCTAAATACATGTAGAGAACAACTTCTCTGAGTTTGACTAAATGCTTAGCAGACGGACTACCTGACAGAAGAGATACCAAGTATTCCTGGTATAGAGGCAGTGTTAATGGGCAAGCTCTTCTCCCTATTTCCAAAGAGAAAGGCAGGAAACATGCGGTCTGTAGGACAAGGAGAGGTCAGTAGTGGGAAGTAAGTAATCAGTGTTCTCTTTAGCTTTAACAGAAGTAAATTCCATGGTATTTGGGTTGGTCTTTCAAAATGCGATCTATTTCTTTTAAGGACTTCTTGAGGGACAAAGACCCTTTTCGTATCACAATGACTGCTGTTTACTGTCACACCTGCAGCACCCGTATGAGGGCATGGCTGTATGTTTTAGCTTTCTGCTGCCAGTCTAAAAAGTGTATTATGAAGGCAGTTGTGTTGGTTTGCAGGTTTCCTATATACTGTAGTTTGTACCTTCTATAAATGATATTAACTAGGATGCTTTAAAAAAGTAATGGTGGTTTAGGCATTCCAGCAGCAGTTTAAATGAGAAGTAATTGTTACTGAACTTATGGTGAAAAAAAATCCAACAAGTTCACGATTCCAATCCAAACAATAAAGGCATACCTATAATACACAGGTGACAGTGCAACTATTTTAAGTCTCTCCAAGAGAGCTCCTGCAAGGACTGAAATATTGCAGGACCATCTGGGTGCCCACAGCCAGAAGGAAACATTGAATTTTGAAATGGAAGTTTTTAAAGCAGAGGATAAAATGGTTAAGTTTGGCAATAACTTCAAGATGCTCCTCAGAACTGGGGAGCTCATTTGTGTACTCAAGGCAGGCTACAATGCCAACATCCTATGCTATGTTGGCATTCAAGCTGGTGACCTTAATGGTATTGTAAGCTGCTGATTTACAGTGTATAAAGAGAAGAAATCTATGATGCCTTCACCTTACAGCAGGTTTTTCCAAAAAGGGCTTTAAGGATGGTTTTGATGAATCTCAGAAGTACTTAAATGTGAGATCCTCACTGAAGAACTATGGGTCTACCACGGTTCTCTTCCTCGTGTGCTTTGGAAGGTATGGGGTGGAGGACTGGAGGATTAAGTTGCATAACTTTTCACAGAGCTGATGAGTAAGTAATTTGGCATCTTCGAAGTTCCAAGATGAAAACATATCCAGCTACCACAGCATAAATATTTCCCACTGAATTACTTATTTCTTGGTCTTTTAGTCATGATGCTCAAGAAAGGACTATAAAGCACTTTCAAAAGATAAGTTCGAACAAAAACTCCCAAGTTTAGCAGATGTGGAACACCCCCCCCCAATAGAATTGATAGCTTTTACAGCACAGTATGATTCTCCCTTCCTCTATAGTTCTTCTGTATTCTGCCAAATATATATTACCTCCTTCCCCTTTACCAACTTAAGCTAACATGTCCCCCCATTCATTTCACAGGTACTAACTTCCTCTCTTTTTCAGAGGGTGATGTTACAGGTGTTGAGAAGTTGCTTAAAGTTTAAATTAGCTTATAACCTTAAATTTAGTTTTTAAAAGTTCAGACCACAGAAGATTTCTGAATCACAAAAGTTGTCCAACAAAATCCCCACCGAATCATATTAACTGACAAATCCCTTTTCCTCCGTATTGAAGTATTTCTGCAGTAGCACTAACCACTTCAGCAATGAAAAATAACTTTTATCCAGGTTGCTTTAGCAGCCAGAAATAAGCCAGTGAGGTGTAACTACCCAGAATTTATGCAAAGAGCTTGTCCTGACTTCAAGTGGGGTCCAGTAGACAAAACAAGAAAGTTTAAGTACCTGTGCCAATGAATTAATTGATCTAACTTCCTCAGCCGACATAAGGTGCAACAGATTCATAGATGTCATCTTCCCTGGGCTGCACACTTTTCACTGAAGTGGTCCAGCGAACTTCACATCTCCAACCTACCAAAACTCTGGAAAGCCATTGTGCATAAAGACATGTCCTTCGTCAGTATCGTGGTGATATGCTCCATCTGTTCTGGCATTCTCTACTTATACCAGATACTGATTTTTTTGATGATCGTTGAAATCTCATTTATATTTGGGCAAGCAGTTCCTCCCCAGAGTTTATTAACCTAGTATGTGTGCCAAGTGGGTAATTTTCTTCACTACTGATCACTAACTTGAAGAGGTCAAAACTCTTCTGTCAGAGCAAAAGAGCATTTTTTATTTGGTTTTTCTTTTCTTTGTTTTCCTAAAAAGAAGAAAGTTGTCTGAAGGAGTCACAAGACTTAAGTCTGCTTCTGAAGTTGGACTTTGTGGTCCAGGAGAGCTGCCTTCAAGTTAGAAAGCAATAAAGCACTCATACACAACAAACACTTGTAGAATACTTCCAATCTCATAAAGAACAGGCTTTTAATCATCTGGACTTAAAAGTCCATCAAAAGCTTAATATTCCATGACTGGGAAACTAAGGGTACAGTAATACAGCCAGCTGCTCCAGAAAGCTATTAAAATACTTTCGGAACCAATCTTGGTAACCAGTTAGCAATCAGATCTTTTTGTGCCTGCTAAAGCACCTGATCCCTTTAGTACACAATGTACAATGTCCTGATAAACACTGTCACTACATCAAAAAGCCAACTTATTTATGTCATATTTGGATATTCTTGGATATAGTTTGGGTTGGAAGAGACTTTTAAAGGTCATCTAGTCCAACCCCCATCAAGATGAAGTAGATAAGGATCTATTCTTCACTCGAAGTCCTCATCCTTGGAAATTATCTTCAAATTTCCTCTGCCGCTTCATTTTTTAGATGCTGAAAAGTCTTCTCAAAGAGTTAAATTAATGTACTTTATTCAAAACTTCCCAGAAGATTCTGAATGACCATTAAACAAGACTCAATTAAGAGACAGCAAGGTTAGGATTATCAGTGCCTGGCTCCAAAACTTCACTGGAGATGGTACAACAAGCTTCCAACATTTACGAAACTGAAGAACATAAAAAACAATTCTGACCTCTCTGGGATAAATTCTAGATGAATGTCTAGAGTGCTGACAATTCACCACACAATCCAAGAAAAACACGACTACCTTTTCACAGATAGCATAAGAGAAATACCAGTTGTCCAATAACATGAAATACATTTGTGTGTGTGTGTATGTAGAGAAGTGTAAGTAACATCGGAATTTAAATACTAGATCAAAGGAGGAGAAGATAGTCAGTAGCATCTGCTTCACAGAAAACAACTTTCAAGCAGCAAAAGAAAAAAAAAAATCACAACTTCTCTCCACTGCAAAGTTTTCACTGAATTTTAAGCCAAACTAATCATTACAGTGATTACTGACCTCTCTGTTAAGGTCCATTTACTTTAATAACACAAACTGCTGTAGTTATTGCTCGTATATAAGTATTCCTCTCAAAAAAAAAAAAAAAAAAAGGGTTTTGAACTCTGAATCCCAGTTATGACCTTTGCCATGCCTCATTTCCATGGCATTTTTCTGAACGCTTCATAAAGGACTACATAATTTTTGTGGCTGCATGACATAAAGCAAATGCAGCTATACAGGACAAAATACTCATTTACTTGACTGCACTGCACATTCCAGTAATATTCCATTAAATCACTATATGTAGTTTTCTGAGTTTTCTGTTTTTCTGTAACTGGTTTTGCTCACACGCGAACAAAATCAAGTGAATCATTTTTAAAATTTATTGCAGTAAGTCTAGACTTTCAACTGAATCCTGTAAAAGTTATCTTAAAATTAAATTAGATATATAAGAAATAGTTTGAACTACTCTATATGCATTAGTTGTGCTACGTTCAGTGTAACTACAACCTCCATATCCCTACAGATTCTCCTCAGGCTTTCCCACTACTCCCCACTGAATCTATTATGTGGGATAGTTAAGCAGCTATTATAGCATTCTGTCAAATGCCATTCTGCCGTTTCATCACATTTCAGTAACACAACACGGCCTGGAGTTACCTCATCCAGTTTGGGTCCTCCAAACAGTCCAGCTGCAAGTAAAGGAGAGCTCCACATGGACTACTTTATTTTGCTGAGCTAGCAATTATTAAACAGTCAATTGAGTCAGCTGAGAAAGAAGATAAATCTGCCCCTGCTTCTATGGCTGGACTGCTCCTAAAGCCCAAGATGGCCTGGATACACCTATACTGTACAGGAGTGTAAACATACCATCTCACAACACTATCTCCTTTTGGACAATCTTCTATTGGACAAGGGAGTTCAATTTCTTTTTGTTTTCACACTATGCTTGTTTGTATACATTTGTTTTTAAAAACACATGCCTACACCCTTTTTGTTCAAAGCATCTATTCATTTTTACACTGATTTTTTCACTGCCACAAACGTTTACTTAACTCTATTAGTCAGATATTCAGTGAAATCGAGATACAGCTACAGTTCTGGCCTGAGCTTTACCTGATACAGAGACACCTTTATACCAAGAGATTCCCTACGTGAAGCTTCCAGATGTAACCATTCACCATTTGCAGCCATGTCTCAGCTTCTGGTTTTGAACATGTCCTTAAAACCACATTGTCTAATGAAATTTTAGAAGGATGTCAACACCAACAGCCTGATTCCACTTAATTGTGAAGGAATTCAAAGCTTTTGTTTAGACTTTTAAATTAAAGAGTCCCTACCCAAGGTGAAAATAAAATCTTTTGTCCTTTTTATACTACCCTTAAAATCTATGCAATGAGACACAGGAAGATTCTTTGAACTTTGCTGGTTCCTAGACACAACATGACGGGTCTCTCCAAAATGCTTCCACACAGAATTTGGTTAGAAGTCTACAAGCCTAAAAGCTTACACAATTTTTTGGCACAACCGCACCAAAAATCACAGGTCTCTCTCAAGCCTTTGTGAGAATCTATGTTGAAAATTCCAAAGGCAGTATTCAAACACTACTGACTTGGGCATCTGCATTGCTTATGATTAAATCTGAGTGCACAGCAATTTGTTCTTGCTCATCTCACACCCTGCCTGAAACAAACTTACTGACGCATGAAGGATTAGCAGCACTCCCTCAAGGCAGGGTACCATCCATAGCAGACCACATTCCTAAAACACATTTCTGGGATGGCACCCCAACTCACATCAAGAAGTTTTGGTGGACTTTCTCTATAGCCCCATCCTAACTTGCTTTTCTATTTGTCGGGTCTTAAAATGTTGCAATTTTACTGCAAATTTAACCATGAGTTCTGTAGGATTGTTTTGACTTTGTACAATGATTCAACTTTGGAGAAAGAGTAAAAAAAGAACCCACATCCCCCCCCAATTTTTTCTACTGACATACAAAGTAGACCAATTAAAAAAAAAATCTCACCATGTATTATAGCAAAATTTTCTTTGTGTTTCAGGCCTTCTCATACACAACCAGTGAACTTCCTAAGTAATCACTTTTAATTGTTCTTGAAAAACTAAGTATTTACCAACTTACTTCCCCAAACAGGAATATCTTTGCTTTCTGCTTTCATCACAATGGAGGCGAAGGTCATAGTTACTGGAATGGCATCAAAGTAGGAAGAATGGGGAGCCACAGTTAATATTGCTGCTTCTGCTGGCAATGCCCGTCTGCCTTTTACATTTATCCAGTGGAATCCACCAGCAAGCCACATCATTCTCATGATTGCTTTCAGCAAAATATCCACTATCCTGTAAAGAGTTGAGAAAACAGTTATGCTGCCACAAGAATACCTTAAAACAATGAAAAGAAAAACATTACATAAAAACTTTATAAGCACAACAAAAGCACAGATAGGATATGCTGCTTAAATAGAACAGGAACACTGCATAGAACTTTTGTTTTCTCTTTCTCAGCAGATTTAAGACAACTTTCAAGGTAAGATGCCATTCAATTTCATTTTATGCCTGAATATTAATGCTTTTTAATCACTATAAAATTGGCATTTATTTTATCAATAAATTAATTTTGATTCAGACTATGACTGTTGAGCTTCTTCTATACAAAGTCTAATAACGTTTTATAGTAATACCAAAAAAGCTCTTGTAAACCGAGTCCCGAAAAATGCTATTAGGATATTGCTAGAATGCAAGAACCCCGATTCTTGTGTTCAAGTTTACGAACACAAAACAGTGGAGAAGCATAGGGCAGAGATTCTCAAACACAGGGATGCCTACAGAACACATCTGGGAACTTTGGAAACATTTTACTTCCCTCCCCTTCCCCCATCTCCTTCTAAAGTGTTTTGGGGTTTTTTTTTGTGGGGTTTTGTTTGCTTGTTTTTTAAACTGTCTGACAGTCATGAAAAGAGAAGCATTTACTTTGAACCAATAAAGTGCAAAAACCAAACACCACAAATTGTTACACCCACAGGATCTGGAGGCTGGAGAGCAGGGTGACACTGACAAGTGGATGAAATGGAGGAGGGACAATCTAAAAAGCTTCAAAATAACTGTACGCAAGATTGAAGGCAGTCCATTATTCCTTTAGTCATTACACTGGTATCATTCCAAATGAAATGTAAAGTGGCATGCCCCTGTGGTTCTCCACCTCCTTCCCTCCTGTCATGCAAAATACAATCAGCTTCCCTTAAGCTAGTGCCAGCTCCTAATTTTGAAGTTCTCTACAGAAAAGGTGATACACTCCTCCTTCCTTGCTCCTCAAACGGCAGTTGTCATGGATGGGTGAACACTATCTTACATTCTACCTTAATTAGCATTCCAATATCAAAGCAAGTACAGACTTTTTAATAAGCACCAAAGCATGGGGCAAGCCCTCAGAGAATCAACAGAAGCTTTGTCAATTCATCACAGGGTAGCAAACAATGAGGTGAAGCAAATTAAAACAACAATCTAGGATATGAAATCTGGGCACATTCTGTAGTGTCAATCTTCATAACAAGAAGTTGACATTACAGGAATAATTGAAATTGAAGGATGTCACAATGAAGCTTCACACCACATCCTCAATGAAGATAAGAAGCCAAAGATGATCATTTTTTCTCCCTGTAATTCTTGGGTCACCTGATAAATCAAACAGTTGAGGTATTTTTAAAGTTTCCTATCTGAGGAAAGTGTTTAAATAATAATTTTTATATTTTTCTTTTGAAGAGTAAAGCAGGTCTATGGGACAGATATCAGGTATTTCCAATCTTCTATATTTCAAACTGCTGAGCTAAATAATGATTCTCTCAGTATTTCACCACATCAATGACTCACTTTCGCCACCAGGAGAGGGGCTTTTCAAGCTCTTGCTCGTCAGATCCCATTGAAGCAATGAATGCAAAAGGCCAGGCCAGCAACATCATAAAAGCAGCAAAAAAAAGTCGGATAGGAAATAGAGTCAAGGTCATGAAGGCAATCTGCAAAATCCAAAACAAATGCGTTATTCTAACACAATCTCAGACTGAAAGAGTCAGTGATTCCTAGAAACTGATCTGAAGTCTTAACTTGAAAATATCTAATGTTAAAACCAGCAGAATACGCTTCAATTCCAAACAAATAATTGTAGTGTATGCGTAACAATGTTTTGTATTCACCAATCTTAATCATAGCTGAAACACAGCACACACTTTAAAAGCTAATGCAGTCTTAGCTTTCCACACTTCTTCAGACCCTATGTTTGTCAGTGAATACATCCGCATGCTCTTTTCCCTTTCTGCAGCCTCACATTAAGTAAATATTTAGCATGGGTGTGTTGTAAATCTTACTGCACTACAGAGAAGTCAGTCCATGACAGCAGCTCCCAGCCAGTGATATGCACTTCTTCAGCAGGGTGCATTCACATCACAATACAGGGCCCAACCTGGAAAGCTCCTCCAGGACTGGGCAGGCACCAGTTCCTCTGTTGTATGTTCTTGGAACCAGAAGCTGTGGGGAACCACAGTGGGGAATAGTGTGCAGAGACACCTCTGGACAAACATCCAGACACACATGAGTTGATGTTCCAGGCCTGTGATAACAGGCATAACCCCCTGGAAAGCAGAGGTTTTCAAGAAATTATCCTCCCCTGGGAAGCCACGGTGAACCCAGCTGCTTCTGCACCTCCTCGCAGCACTCTAGTTCTTGGAGAGCCCATTCCCAGCCAGTCAGCCCTCTGCCTTCAACTTTGGTGAAAAACACGTCATGTTGGAACTTCTCCCACAGTCTTTTGAAGAGTTCTCCCAAAAGTAGGGCCTTTCTTGAGCTGTTTGGAGTTGTTCCCAACTGTCCTCCAGAAAACACAACTTAGCAACTATCGGTGCAATGATCCACTTGCTCCAGGAAACAGTTCCAGGAGCCAAGAGTCCCACCTTTCTCATTCAAAGGACAGGAAGAAAGAAAAAAAGCTCTTACAGTGGAGGAGGATATAGCTTCAGATGACTGGCTAAGGGAGAGAAAGGGAATTGAAAACTTTGAAGCTGACTCGGGTAGTACTAAAGCTCCTCAAGCTGTACAATGGAGGCTAGCAGAAGATGACGACGACACTATGAAATAGAACGGCCACGTAAAGAAAGAGAATTCAAAAGGAAATATGCTACGTATTCACAGGTGCACCAGATGAGATAGAAGAGTACTTTTCAGCATCACAATGGCTGGGCAAGGATGAGTAACGAGGCATAAGGTGCTGCCTCATGTTGTGCTTAATCTGATGCATCTCCGGGCCCCTATGGAAAGCATTATTCATATTCGTCTCTTCCCTGATGCCGACCTAGTCATCACGCAGCTCAGTTTTCCATTGATCAGTTCCTGCTTCCTCTCACTTCCCAAAACAGCTCAATAACCAACTCATCCTGTAGCTGCACAAATCTGCAGATCTAGGGTAGAGGCAGGGAACACACAGCAGGAGAAAACCCTAAGCTACCAGCCCTCTGCAATGCCAGATTTTATAGTGATGGTTCAGACTGGCACCATGATCTCATAACGAACATGGTCTCGCTCCCCAAAACTGGATTCCAGTCCCTGGGTAGACTGCTTCAGTTTGCAGAATCAGAAGAAAAAGGAATTTTTTTCTTAGATAGGCTAGTTTCCCAGATGAACCAGTTCAACTTCCTAAATGGCAATGGTCAGATGAGCACTGAGGTCATACCAAATCATGCAACTCTGCATCCATAGACAAGACCACCACATCTGGCAGCAAATGGGGGAGCATTCATCTGCAAACTGGAGAAGAGAGAGCAGCTGCCTTGTAGGCTCGTGTCATAGTTTAAACCCCAGCTGGCAACTAAGCACCACACAACCACTAGCTCACTCGCCCCAGGTGGGATGGGGGAGAGAATCAGAAGAGTAAAAGTGAGAAAACTCATGGGTTGAGATAAAGACAGTTTAATGAAGTAAAGTAAAAGCCGTGCATGCAAGCAAAGCAAAACAAGGAATTCATTCACCACTTCCCATCGGCAGGCAGGTGTTCAGCCATCTCCAGGAAAGCAGGGCTCCATCACATGTAACGGTTACTTGGGAAGACAAACGCCATCATGCCGAACGTCCCCCGCTTCCTCCTTCTTCCCCCAGCTTTCTATGCTGAGCATGACGTCACATGGTATAGAATACCCCTTTGGTCAGTTGGGGTCAGCTGTCCCAGCTGTGTCCCCTCCCAGCTTCTTGTGCACCCCCAGCCTGCTCGCTGGTGGGGGCGGGTGAGAAGCAGGAAAGGCCTTGACTCTGTGTAAGCACTGCTCAGCAATAACGAAAACATCCCTGTGTTATCAACACTGTTTTCAGCACAAATCCAAAACATAGAATCATAGAATAGTTTGGGTTCGAAGGGACCTTTATAGGTCATCTAGTCCAACCCCCCTGCAATCAGCAGGGACATCTTCAGCTAGATCAGGTTGCTCGGAGCCCTGTCCCACCTGACGTCCAATGTTTCCAGGGATGGGGCATCTACCACCTCCCTGGGCAACCTGTTCCAGTGTTTCACCACCCTCATTGTAAAAAATTTCTTCCTTATAGCTAGTCTAAATCTACCCTCTTTTAGTTTAAAACCATTCCCCCTTGTCCTGTTGCCCCATACTAGCTACTATGAAGAAAATTAACCCTATCCCAGCCAAAGGAGCTCGTAAGATGAGAAGGACCAGCTGTCAATAAAAAAGGGAAACAAAATGCAGGTGAAGACACAGTCCTCTGGGATTCACACCCTCTCCCTCCCACTCCTCAAAGTCTCCTCCTATACCAGGGCAAAGTTGAATGGCAGGTGACTGGTGGTGAGCTATTCAGTCCTTTGCATCTCTGTAGCAATCCTTTGTATCAAGATCACTTTAGAGCCACATCACAAAACTGAAGCAGTAGCTGCATCCATAAGGTTGTGAAAGATGGCATAAGTGCGTAGAAAAGGCCTCTTGGTCTTCTGTGTCCAGGGACAGCAGTGGTGGAAATGACCAGCAAGAAGCAGTTCCAAGTACACAGGTGTATGGGGTCTGGCTGTGACAGCCTCTTTTTTAGCAGGTTGTAGTGCAGTACCTGTCCGCACAAGAAATTTGGTAGGAGAGTAAAGAGGTATATTTGCCCCTGAAAAAGGTTAGGAATCAACAAAGATACTAACATTTGAAAAGTAGTTCAGTCTACATCTATATTCAGACACCTCCCTGCGTAAGAAAGCTTCTATCCCGTAAAACCTATGTACAGTAGTAGTGTCAGACAGAAAAAGGAAGAAGATTCTGTCCCCACTGGCTGCTGTCAGAGATCAGAATGCAGGAGACACACACTCTTGGTCTGACCTTGTACAGACATCTTATTTCGGTGAGTGTATTTCTACATATTTAGAACATTCACCCAGATGTGTTTTCTAGTAAAATTACAAATTCTGTCTGGTGATAAGTCATATGTAAACACCTGTGTTTTAAGATACATTTAAAAAAACCTAATGGTCCATCTGGAGCTGTACCTTGGGAGGTTCAGCTCATGACCGATTTTCTTAAGAGGGGTTTGACTACAGCTCATTTAACATTTGCTGGTCTATGGGATGCTGCTTAGTTTTTCAGAAGTTGAAGTATATGCTGTGAAAGACCCATGGACAGCAGAAAGGAAGAGGATGGTCTTACAGCTTGTAACAGAAGGCTGTCCCGGGAAACTATACTCTATTCTTCCGTCAGAAGGGCTTCAATCTGATGAAAGGCAAGTCACTTAAACTAAATAGGTATCATATGTTCTCCTCGTTTAGAGACTCTGCATTCAGATTTGAGTATGAACTTACAATGGAGATATAAAACATGAACTTAAGTACTGCTTAAGTTCTCCAAAACATCAGGCCCTACCCTACATATCTAAGCACTGAGCAAGAGAATCATAGAGTACCCTTGTTTCTCCTTCTGTATGTCTCCGTTTCCTGTCTTGAAAGCCAGTATCTTACCTCTCACACACAGAGAAGCTGAAAAAGTGCATCTTTGAAATTAGTGATACAGTGAGAAACATCATTAAAAACAGTTTATGCACAACAAAATTTCCATGACTTATTCACATATTGAACAAAGAAAACAGAATAATGAACTGTACATTTAACATGGTAGAGGTTTTGATTTTTTCTTTTAAACATATCAGATAAAGACTACATCTTGCCCCACACTTTCACTTCCTCACTATTATCATCCCTATAGCCTCAATTCACCAAAGATGGCACTGAAAGAGCTAGGAATTCATCCCTCAACAATCCTCTTACTACCCACCTTCCCACTCTGCGAGTTCCCTGATTGACACAATCATGGTGATAAATACAGGAGAAATTTTCATTTCTGGTGCCGGGGTGCAACTAAGCCAATCTAACAGATCATTGCTCCTGAAGAGGGTGGTCCTGTTCACTCTCCCCTCAACCCTCCCCTTGAGGTGGCTCTAGCATTTATCTGAGCTTACAATGAGCCAATACAGCTCATTAGACTGAAGACAAGCAATCCCAGCAAAAGAAAACAATCAGAATACAGAAAAACACAATAATCTGCTGGTTTAATGAGCCAAATCAGCTCACCAAGGCACCAAAGGAACACCACAATTGGTGCAATAAAAGGGCCAGAAACACTGGAAGCAAGGAAAATGGCATCGTATTGTGTTTTTAAGCGGCAGGGAAACAAAGCTATGAAGACTTTGTGACAGCTCCAGTAATGCTTCTGCCTGTTCTGCAGACATAACTAGAATCAAGAGCTTTGACTTATGTGATAAGTGCCCAGAGGATGTTAGGATGAACAAAATTCATGGTTAATGAAATTATGTCTGTCCTTCTTCCAGAAAGGATCTTTCTATTATAGTACTGAAATAAAACAGTTAGCTCCAAGAATTACCCCCCACTGTCACCCTCAGATCAGAGTGAAATAACCATCATTTCTATGGGAAGCATGAGAGTCAGTTCTCAAATAGCCTTACTGCTTTTATACACCTGTTATCTCCCAGTTTT